CAACTGTGCGGCCTTCTCCGAATTCACCATGGCACTGAGCACCAGAGCCAGCGACCCCGAGCCGGGGGGAGCACCGCTCCCTGTCCTGGCCCTCCTGGTCCCGAGGCACAGGCAGGACCTGCCATTCGCCCCCCTTCAGCAGCAGCGCCAGGCACTGTGTTTGTGGGTGGGTAGGAGGACAAGCTGTTTACTTCAGATCTATAATTCGTAGCAGCCTGTAAGAGGCACCCCCTCTCCCTGCCCTCCAGGAGCTAAAAACAGCCCGAAAGGTCCCTCTTCCCCGGAGGAGGAGGCGGGTGGCATCCACTGGCGAGATGCAGCGTGGCAGAGGTGTTTTGTAGCCCCCTCGGGAAGCAGTGCCATGGCCACACTCTCCCCAAGCACACCCGCTCCCTGTCCATGCTGTAGCGGTTGTTTAACCAGTGCCCGGTGCTGCACGGGCTCCCTGACGCCCACAGGGTCGGCCGCCCTGGCAGGGCGTTGCGTGGTGGGATGAAGGATGAGGACAGCTCCAGAGCACACAAGGCAAGGGGGAACAGAGAGAAGCTCCTCTCACTTGCGCACACTATTCCTGTTGTTATTTACGGCAGAGAGCCCAGAGGGACCCAAAAATGAGAGCTCCCCCCAGCTGCTGCCTCAGGGTACCCCTGGGGAGCCTCTCACACAGGTGGGCCACCAGCTGGGGGAGGGACGTGGCATCCTGGAGCTGCACCAGTCCCACCGGAGCAGCCCCTGGAAAGAGCGGAGGCAGAGATGCTCAATGCGTCCGTGGGTTCAGCCAGGAGACCAAGGGGCACAGGGCTCCGTGGGAGTTGTCCCAGTGGGCCAAAGGAAACCTCTTGGGTTTGACAGAGCAGACCCTTAGCAATGCCCCACAGTGCCCACACATTGCTTTGCAGCGCTGGGGCTTGCCCAGGTCTCATTGCCCTTCACCACAAAAACCATTTGATAGGTGTGAAACGAGTTTTCCACCTCCCAGAGCAATGCCCTGGCTCCTGGTAACAGCCCAGGCAGCCCGAGGAGAGTGAGGAAATCAGCTTCCATGTGGCAAGGATGCATCCTGGTCAGCCAGGCCATGGAGGCAGAGCTGACCGCAGGGTTACGGGATGAATGTAGGCTCCCTGCCACTGACGGCTGCTCTGACCTTGAGGAGGCACCCCACCTCTGGTTTTCCCCCCCGGTAATTATACCCAATTTAATGGAGTTCTTCGTGATCTGAAGTTATTAAATGCAAAGGTTGTTTATATGTCAGTGTCTCATAACCACCAGAACTGGCAATGGCCAACAGTGTTCCAACGGGCAGTTCAAAGCTGGGGAAAGGCAGTACTTTCTCACCAGCGCTGGAAACTCCCCCCCCCGAGTGGGTGGTTAAAGCGGGGGAGTTGCTGCACACACTCAGGCAAACACAGGACTCTCTCCAATTTTTCTCCCAGGTTTGTCACGAGGGGAGTAGGAGACAAAGGGTCTCACAAGGCTCTTGCCGTGACCACCCTGAGAGAGCAAAGCCAACGCTGCTCGCCACGGCACGTCTTGCCCAGCCTCGAGAGTCGGCAGCCAGAAACTCAGCCGTAAGCCCCTGGTCCCAGGGGTGAGGGTTCCCCTCTGTGTGCTGAAGGCAGCGAGCCTTCTCCTCGGGGGAGCGCGTGGAGGAGTTCCTGCCAGGCGTTGGCGTGTCCGGGCGGACAGAAGTGCTCGCTGGCCAGCACAGCTCCTGCGGGACATGGGGACAAAGCGTGTTTGCTGTTTGGGTGGGGGACCACTTGAGCTCCTTTCCCACTCCCCTCCCCTTTGGAGGTGGGGGAAGCCGATGGATGCAGCCCCCCAAGGAGACACGAGTGCAGCCAATATTTCCACTCTCAATGTCATTTCCCAATTTCCAGCTTCCTGATAAACCACATTGATTAAAAGACTCCAGGAATCCCTGTTTCAGCAGTGTCACCCCTTCGCAGCAGGGCATCCCTCCGCTGGTAGGGGCTCCAGGAGCCCAGCAGGACCGGGGCGGCAGCAGGCGACGTGCGGCCGTGCCGGGGCAGGAGCCTTCTCCAGCGACAGTCCAGACCCGGCACCCGCTGCATCCAGCCTGGAGTTAATTACAACGTCGGCATCAAACAGACACTCTGTAAATGAAACGGAAGGACTAGCAGCTTTCTAGCTCTGTCTTTATTTTTTAACCCCAATTACAAGGGAGAGCCGGTGGCAGATAATGAAGTTCAATGGGATGGTCTGAGTGCTAAGTGGAGAAGCAGGAAAGCCTCACACCCCAGTCCCAAATTGGACATTGATATGCTGTGTGGCCTCATCTCCTGCTTTTCTCCATGTAAAGTGGGGGTGATACTTAGCCCAAGGGGTGTTCCACAGGTCAATTAGCATTTGGAGAGCGCTTTGAAGATTTAAAGTGTTACATAAATGCAAAGTGTTAGCATCCCTGCGTTTTCTATGGCAGCAGAACCCGGAGACGGCAATCAAGATCAGAGCCTCGCTGTGCTGTATCGGGCAAACCAGAAACTCCTGATTGGAAAAAGCCCCTGTCCCTGGCTGGGCGATGGGCAGCCTGCGTGCCCTGGGCAGGGAGTTCTGTCAGCCTCAGAGGGAATTAGCACCACTGGCATCCTCGGATGTGGCACACTGCCCTAGAAGAGCCCCCCTGGGAGCACGGAGAGCAGCCACTGCCTTGGACTGGCCACCCTGCAGGCACACGTCCCTCCAGACCACCCAGATCCCCCCAGACCCCCTGAGTGTGCTCAGCACCACTGGCTCCCCCAGCCAGGGACCTTCCGAGGTGCCCCACGAGGTGTCCGGGTGCTGATTTTGCTTGGGAATTGGCCAGACACCATGTGCTGCAAAATGCCCACGCTTCTTCCCTGCAGAGCCACAGTCCCACCCGTTGTTTTGGGAGTACAGCTACGGCTGGCTGGCCTTGAAGGGCCGGGAAGACTGAAGTGCTCACAAAACAGAGCCAGTTGGAGGTGAGCGTTAACTGGCGTGCGCAAAACCAGCCCGTCAGCTTCGCTTCCACCCCTTGCCCGCTGCAAGATACTTCAGAACTCTGTTTCCTTTCTAATCAGATGAAAACACAGCATGAGTCTTAATCACAGAGCACAAATAGGGAAGAATATGTAAAAAAGAACCTTCACACCTTTGTTTTGACACCTTGTTGTGTCACGCATTGAGTTTAAAACCACCGGAAGATGCGATGATGCTTGCAGCATCGCTCGTTAAAACTGCACTCTGTTGCAGCACAAACCAGCATCAGACTACAAAGCAACACCAAAGCACAAGGAAACCTGAGATGAAACGGAGTGAGGTCACTGGTTCCTTGCATTATCCTGGAGATGTTTGTCAACAGTTCCATTTATCCAAATGGCCACCGTCTAAAAAAAAATAAATAGCTTGTTTTGACAAAACCGTGCGCTGTGGGGAAGGACTTCGGAAAAGGCACCACGTGGGCCAATTCCACGCCGGACTTCTGAACGAGTCCTGCTGAGGAAAGGGCCTGCGTGCAGTCTGATGGCGTTACCTGCGAGAGGACAAGGAGGAATTGTCCCTGCAGGTTTACAGTCTCCTCTAATATTTGTGCGTAGGTTGTAAACACATGGCTGAGACTCGGCTGGACAAAGGTCTTGGATCTTCACTACAGCTTCTGCTCCCTTGTTAGGGAACACGGGGGAGCACGGCTGACCACGAGACAGGAATCCGGCTGATAAAGTGAACGCAAATGGCAGGTACAGTGAAATGTCCCCTGGCCTCCCCCTGCCACGACCAGTGCCCCACCGGCCCCAGCCCAGAGCCCACTGCCCCCAGCCCGGGAGCAGGAGTGGCCGGGGGCTGCTGGAGCACGCGGTGACAGTCCTGGAAGTTGCATGAGAAGTCGGCCCCAGCCTCGCTACCAAACACATGCTCTAGGTTTTCCCTCATGTCCCATTGCTGTTGAGTTGAGCATCCATAGGAATGAGCAGCTGGAGCAGCTGCTCCCCATTTTGAGCTCCAGATGCCAGACCTGGCACACGCAGCCCACCCCAGCAGCCACCGCAGCAGCTCCCTGCATGAAGGGTCCCCTTTGCCCCTCCGTCAGGCATGGAGCATCCCTTCAGCCCCTCCGGTGGGCGCGGGGTGTCCCATGGGCGCTGCAGGGCCACGCAGCTGCTGCGAGTCCGGACTTGAACATTGCCAGCGTGCAGCGCCGGGAGAGCGGAACAGGTTGAGTGACTTCAGGCTGTGGGAGGAATAATCGTCTTGGGTTGCTTCAGAGAGCCGAGGCAGCACAGCGGGCGAGGATGGCAGTGCCTCACGCCTCCCGTCTCTGCCAGGGACCTCCGAGTGTTTGTGTTTGAAGGACTTTTTATAGAACTGCTGTCAAAACGGGTAGAGAGCGAGCTTAATCGGGCCCGAGCTGCAAATCGAGGCGGCGTGTGGGTGTGCGAGGGATGTGGGCAGCGAGCGGCTGCTCTCAGCCAGCGCCGGGCGTAAACAGGTCCAGTCAGATATTTATCAGGGACTCTCATCTCCTGAGCTGGGGAATTCTTTCCCGTCGTGTCGGTTATGATCCGCAGAGCAGGGAGCGTTAACGACACCTCTGCACGGCCGTGAGCAAGGCTGAGCGGGCTGAGGTCCTGCAGCCCGCGTGCCCCGGCCGGCAGCGGGCAGCCAGCTGGAGCTACGGGATCCGTCTGCCTGGCCAGCAGGTCCTGGGGCTCCTGCCTCTGGCGACAGCCCCGGCGCCATCCCCTCGCTCGTACTGAGTCACAAGTGACTCACTGCAAACTTGGATGCGAGCGCAAAGTGTGCATTTGCAAATTGGCTGGTGAGGCACTGCCTTGCAATGTAGGTGGGATGGATTACATACTCCAGCAGTCAAGTTCTGCTCTTTTTTCCCTCCTCCCTCTCCCTCCGTGCAGGATAGCTGTATGAGCCCAGGATTTTGGTGCGGTTCTTAGCCTGCTCCGGTGGATGCGGCGTGTGGATGGCTCCAGCTCCGCTTGTGACAAAGCCCTGCACTGAAGATGGATGATTTAGCTCTCCTGGACCTGTTGGAGTGTCCTGTGTGCTTTGAAAAGCTCGATGCCACCGCAAAGGTGCTACCTTGCCAGCACACTTTCTGCAAGCCCTGTCTGCAGAGGATCCTGAAATCCCAGAAGGAGCTCAGGTGCCCCGAGTGCCGGACCCTGGTGCTCTGCAGCATCGAGCAGCTGCCCTCCAACCTGCTCCTCATCCGCCTCCTGGATGGAGTCAGGTGCGGACAGAATGTTACCAGGTTTGGCTCGATCCAGAGGTCGGGGGTCCTGTCATCCCCCGCCTCCGTCAGGAGAGTCCCCAGGGGGTTGCAACTTCATCAGCACCGGCTGGCGATAAATCCCAGGATCCACATGGACGGGGTAAGGAGGCTCCACGTTCTTTACTCTGTCGGTCAGCATAGAAAGCTTATTCTCATGTGCCAAGAGCTGTGCAAGTTTCCTGTTAGCAGTACTGCAGCAATATTTGAAGTAGGAGAGGTCGTTGCATTTGCAAATCCGGCTGCTGTTTCCTTGTGGTATTTGACTATTCCGAGCTCATCCCAACAGTAACTGCATTGACTCCCAGGCTGAGGAAAACCCAGCTTGCCCTTTTCCTTGCAAAAACTTCACAGCAGCTCTTTTCCCCAGGACTTTCCAGGTGCTTCCTGACCATTGGGGGGGCCTTTCAGGGGCTTCAACTTTCAGGCAATGCACTGTTTTGACTGATAGCAATTAAACCAGTAATTGCAAAGCTGTAGCTGTTGGAGGTGGAGAAGGGTATTTCCCATGGCATTAAAAAAGGAGAGTACCTAATGAAGTTTATGGCCCTGGCAGAATACTTTGAGGTTCGCTATTGACAAATATTAAACTCAGCTTACTAACTTTATCCAGGGGTGATTTACTAGGCTGATTTTAAAATTGCAAGTTGCTTCTGTCATCTTCTTACCAGTACAAAAGCTTTTTGTACAATAATGAGGATGTGATATTGGACCTGTTAAGGGAGCTTGGCTCAGACCGGATTTGAGGTAGAGACTGACGTGCGACTTCACCTTTCCTGCGTTATATTCCTGGATTTCCATTTCTCCCACCTGAGCTATTCTGTACAATGTCTCCACAAACCTGTTCACACAAACATTCAAAAGCTTGACTCAAACTGTTAAATCTCCGAGGATTTTTCAGAGTTGCAGAGCTATACGCTCAGGCAGACAGCGAGTAGGTTGTCTCGCCTGAGTGCTACAGAGGTACATACGTGCGGGCGTTGCTGTGGGGCTGTCGAGGTCCCTGTGTCCTATGGGTACAAGCTGGTGTGCGTATCCCAGGGAATCTCTGTGGTGTGGATAAGTCATCTTGGATCACACATCAAAACCAGACATCTCTCAGGAGCTCCTCTCTCTGGTTTTCCCACTGAAAAGCATGGCGGTGTGGCCCTGTGGTCCTTTCCTGGGAGCGGGCAGTGTGGGAAAGCTGGCCTGGAAGAGGCCAGCCACATCTCAGGCATCAATCCCAGCAGCCAGAAATTACGTCTTAGCTTGGGTGAAGCGTAGCTCAGTCCCCAAAGGCGCTGGGCCATGCTGTGCCATGGTGCTGGGGGCCATCCCCCATCTGCAGCACCCGCCAGGTGAGTGGTGGCCAGGTGGGAGAGCAGAGCGGGGGGGCGACCGTGGTCCTTAGTCTGCAGCCGCTGGGCCAGTGTTGGACCAGCTATTGGTCCAACACCGGTGCCAGTGCCTTTGGTGCGAGGTACGAACCACCAGGCAGCGGCGTTTTTCAGCCGCTGTCCCGGCAGCAGCATTTCAGCTGAAAGGGAGAAGGTGTGCAGCTCCTCCAATGGGACTCCCCAACCCAGGTACAAAGCACAAGTACGCTCGTCTGCTTTTCTGCTCCCTCACACCTCTCACACTTCTTCAGTTCTCAGGACAGGCAGAAACTTGTTGCTGATAGTACATGATGGCAACATCCATCTGTTTGCAGCTTCCTGAAGCATTTTAAGACCAAACTCTGGGCATTCGGCAGGGCTACAAGTGCCGGGTGGGAGGGCTGCGAGTGCGGGCTGGCCCCCGCCGTGCTGGGACGCAGCACTGAGAGCCCCCGAGCCCCTGTGCCTCTGGATGGAGAGGTATAAAAACACATTACACTGAAATGCTCTTAGACTTAATGAGTTAATTAATTATAAAGCACTTTGGAAACCTCGGCTGCAAGGTGAAGAGGGAACCGTATTAGTCATGTTTTGGGTTTGGTGGTTTTAAGTAGACGCAGACGGGACCACACGTTACTTCAGCTGCTCCAGTGGGATACTAATGCCCATGGACCCTCCGTGGAGCTGGCACCCGCTACCAGGAGTAGCAAGGACTCGTTTGGAAGGGCCTGCGCGGTGCAGAGAGAAGGCAGCAGTAAGGATGGCTTGTCACCTCCCCACAGCGTGGAGTGCTTGAGTTTCAGCGTGTTCACTGAAGTAATCGGTGAGAGCAGAGGCCTCCGAATGATTTGAACCGCAGAGCAGAGGCTTTCTGTCAACACAGCTACCGTGCGATCCTGCTCCGCCACGGGTAATCCCACCATGGTAGCCCTCCCGGTGCTCTTCAACGCGGTATTCGTTTGCAGCTGCGGCAGAAGGTGCGTGCTCTCCTAAGAAGGGCTGCCCCAATCTGCATGGATTGCTAATTACCACTAATACCCTACACCACTTGTGCTACGGAGCAGATAAAAAGCACGTGCACCATGCCGCGCCGCAGCTAGACACGCCGTCAAAAGCAGCATGCAGGACACATTTCATTTTTACCAAAAAAAAGGCGTTCCATACATAAGCTTCTTTTGCTCCATGGGCAGAGAAAATCACAAGTTTGAGCAAAGTTTCTCTTCTCAGCAGAGATGTTTCCTTGCCAGTTTCTTGCTCTTCGTCCTCACGAGTATCTTTGAAGCCAAAAAAGTAAAATCAATGTCCGCATCAGCAAGCAAGCCAAGGACCGTATCATGCCGGGAGGGATGCGCGAGCAGCCCTCAGCAGAGCTGCTGAGTTAGCAGTAATGCTGTGTTCGCTTTGCTGCCTGGAATTTCACAGGGCCGGACCTTAGAAACAGGCAATGTTCTAGTCACAGCCCATCCCAAAGTATTTCCCATTTGCTAACACTGAAATCACTTTGGGATCCGCTTCCTACACGCTCTCGGAGGGTGGGCACATGCTGGGTTTGAGCACACGGACACGCGTATCCACGCCGGGGCTGTGCCTGTGGGAGCAGCTGCTCAGCAACGTGGCACAGAGGCCACCAGCACTGCCCCGTAGCTGCTCCCGGGACACTGGCCAGGTTTTAAGATCTTTAACATCTATGCAGAGAGGACAAGACTTTGGATTTTCAGGATCTCCACCTAATAAGCTGTCTGGAATTCAAGAATAAAAGGATTTGCTAGGAGGTGAATGCGTAAATAATCCACGCTGAAGCCTTTGAACTCTTAGGAGCCGCCCCTGGCATGTGCCAGATGTGGTTATGTCTTGTGCTGAAGCATCCTTCTTATCTGGCTTCAGCCCCAGCGTGAGCGGCTTTGCCGCCGGTGAGAGAACAGAACGATCCTGTGTGCTGAGGTACACACAAAACTCCCGTACTCCTCTGATGAGTAGCAGACCTAAACACCTTACACACAACAAAAATCCATCCAGGCCACTAAACAGCTACTTGGATGATGAACTTTGTCATGCAACAAATACAGGGCAGCGAGCCAGAGGAGAAAAATTCCGAGCATGACAGCTTGCCTTTGGAAAACACAGACCACACAGATGTAACTGCGACTTTGGCTATTTTCTCTGCATGAACTGAGTGCTGTAACACCCCCCTCCAGCATTTCACGGGAGATAGACAGATAACACCTCTATTGGGATAAAAATACACCACACTCCAACGTCGCCACCTTCACACGGACGTCTATATATAGAGCTGTGTCTTGGTATTTTCTTCTCCTCCAGAAACATCTCCAACCCCTCGCTGAGTTTGACAGACAGGACTTGGGCTGCTGGATCTTACTGAAACCTTCCGCAAAGCAACGTTGATGTTTGCACCCAGCGGGGGCAAACACGGCTCCCGATGCGCTCACTGTGCATAGCCACCCACCCAGCACCCCAAAAAACGCCCAGCAGCTCCCGTGCAGTGGCAGTAATGACCTCGTCACGCGTGTCACATCGCCTGAACACACTCGGGGACTCTGCACAGGCGCATTGGCTCTGCCTTCAGAGGGGGCACCGGCTCCTTTCCCACCGGAGAGGGCGAGCATCCTCTCGCCCAGCAGCTGCTGTGGGTGGTGGCTGCTGGTGCCACAGGGCCCCTCACCTGGAAATGCAGCCCCTTTATTTAGCTATAAATTCTGCATGGCCTCATGACATTCTGGGAGAAAGGGTTTGCCCCACTTCTGCTCCATAGCTACATCCCAGCAGGGTTTAACTCATTCCAAACAATGCTGAGCGTGACCTGAGGAATTGTTTCTGCAGTGCTGGCTTGCAGCTCATGCAGCAGCACCGCCGTACGGCTCCTTCGCGTGTAGTTTCTGCCCTTGTATCTACCACCAAGGGGGAGTGAGGTCACCTCAATATAGGTTGCCTGACAATACACACCCCAAAAGACGTATAGGCACCATATCCTGGGCTGGATCCAGAGCAGCGTGGCCAGGGGGGCGAGGGAGGGGATTCTCCCCCTCTGCTCCACTCTGGGGAGACCCCCCTGCAGTTCTGCCTCCAGCTCTGGGGAGACCCC